ATTGAGGACTCGTTTCGCTGTCAATGCGTTTGTCTTCAGTGGAGAAGAAGTGTTTTTCGCCGCAAATCCCAACTCGAACTCAACGACCAGTTGTTCAGCAAATGGCAAAAAGTGGATCTCTTTGGCCGACAATACGTGGAAAGCGAGCGTTTGGTGTCTCTCCTGAAGAAGTGCTCGTTTGTCGAACACATCTCTGTGTCGCCGACGCTGTCGCCCATCGACGGCGTCCTGGCCTTAATCACCACTTATTGTCCGCGTTTGAGATCAATTGCGATGGACTTCGAGAAAGTGTCGTCCAAAGAGTTTTTCGCAGAGTTTGGTCCGAAAGTAAAGTCCATTCGCTTTATCACCGATTCTTTCGCCTTCAAGAAGACGTCCAGAAATTGGCGTTTCTTTCGGGACCTAAAGCTCTGCACAAAGCTATCGGCGCTCAACACGAGTTCAGTGCACAACATGTCAACGATTTTCGACGAAAACGACGAGATTTTTGTCGCAAACCTCAAGCGCTTTGAGTTTAGATGCGATTTATCGCAAGACATGAATCGGTTCCGCGTTTTTGTGGCCAATAATAGCGAGAGTTTGCGAGTCTTGAGACTCGAAAGCGTTTCAAACGGCGACCAAAGAAACGGAAATGAATTGACGAAACATTTGCTTTCATTGCGAGCGTTGACTGAATTGAGTCTCAATTTTGGCTTTAATTTTATTGCAAGCGATAAACACTTCGTTCAGACTTTCAGACAATTGTCGCTCAAAAGCAATGCTTTAATGAAACTGACGTTACATTTGAGTTACAAAAGCGTGAGTCAAGTGTCGGCGCTCTTTCACGCCGTCAAATACTTCCGACACTTACGCTCTCTTCGCCTCTCTTTCAACCGCTTTGACGACACAGTAGTCGAGAGTGACGTCTATTTGTCGGCGAAAACGCTGAACGCCTGCAAACGCATCACTCATTTGCGACTCTCCTTCGGAGCCATCACTTTGAAGGACTTCTTCTTCGCGGACATTGGCGTCGATTTGCCGAAACTGCGGACATTGAGAGTGGACTCGAGAGCGGAGATAACGGACGCGACGCTCGAGTCGGTCGCGAATCTGCCGAAACTCGAGTCCATCGACCTCTCGGTGGCCGAGAAGGCGGTCGCGAAGTTGAGTGACTCGAGTGTCGCGCGCATTGTCCGCAAATGTCCCGCAATTACGTCAATAAGCATTCGGTCGAAGAGATCGAAGGCAAGGGTTTTGTTGACGCCGGAGATGATTGCGGACCTGAGAAACGGCTTTCCGAAAGAGTAATTTGAAAACCTTGTGGTCAGTCGGCGTCCGGAGTGATGACAATCTTGATGTCTTCGTCGGCCACGGGTTTGGCGGTCGAGTTGTCGCCGTAGACGGAGCTTAAGTCGGTGGACACTCGGGAGCGCATTGGCGACGAAGAGGTGCTTCCGGGCGACGGAATCACGAGAAAGACGTAATGTTTGTCTCCTTTGGCCAAAATGGGCGACGAATTGGGCGTCGATTTGAAGGACAGCTCAGTGTTGGGCACTCGCAACAGATTCCGGTGCTGGACTGCCAACTGAGCGCCAAATCTACGATTAGTTGCGGGAAATGTACGCAAAACTACTGACCCTTTGCGGGAATCCGCGCTTTCGGGCGAATCCGCGTCCGTCGCGGTATTCCTGGAATTGCGAGACAACGCAGAGAACGGCGTAAACCTTAGAAATGAAGAGTTTTCTAGAGTTTCGACAAAAACAAGATCACAAGAGATCTCACATTAAGTGAACAAATGATGACATCGGAGACGAAGAATGAGATGAGATATGAGTCGAAAGAGCCCTAAAAAGAGGGATTCTGTGAGTGAATGGATGTTTGACTGACTTTCAAAGACTTACGCTTTCATTAATCAAATGAAAACAAATGACGAGATCTAAGAGTGTTGTCAACGAAACGCTGAGAATCCAAGGAATGAGTAGTTTTCGGTTGTCCTTCAAATTCGTAATCAAATTATTCTCTCATTTAATCTCTAATCAGATTTGTTGACAAGAATTCTGGCATTAATTCGATAATAAATCCCGAGATTTGCTCTCAAATAATGTTTTATTTTTCTAATTTTCTGTAGATTTATATTTAATTGAAAATTTAAAAATAAATTCACTTTTATTGCACTGAAACTGCTTTTCGATCGCAAGTGTTGTTCACATTTGACTGCATTTTCTTACAAAACAAAACAAAGGGATTATGATTACTATTATTAATGTTTTTTGTTTGTTTGATATCTCTTTTATTGTGAGAGTAGTGTCCAGTGATAGCAGTGATAGTGCAGTGAATGGACTGTCGAGAAGCTATTCAACTCTTTTTGCGAATAAAACTCTGCTTTTTGTTAGAAATACTCACAGAATAGAGACCAATGATAAGCACTATTGAAGAGACGACAGTCGCCAACGACATCACAAGCATTGCCAGAGAGGCCGCGAACAGCACTGGACAACGAGATTGGGTCACAATTAGAGCCACGAAATTAATTTCACAATAATTAATACGTTTTTGATTTTTTTCTCAAAGAATTTTTAATGCAAATCATTGCAAATAAAAAAGTGAATATTAAAATGAATCTCAAATATGAATTTCTCTATTGATTTCTGCCGTGCTTTACAGCTAATGAATAAACATTTTGAGTGCAATTAATGTCAATAACGTTAATGGAATTGAACTGAAAATGTTTGCAAACAAACTATAATTTGATTAAAAGAGTAATTAATATTCACATTCATTAATGCAATGCAAAGCGAGAAAAGCTTTTAAGTGGAAAATTCTGTGCTTTAAAGTCGAGTGAATCGCATCGCAAAAAGTGTCACATCTTTGGCGAAAGAGTGCATTGAACTTAAAGCATGAAAGACCTGGTTGTTTGTGGACTGTATTCGCGTGAAAGGCACACGTCGTGAAGACGATTGTGTAGAAGGCCTGCGAAGAAAAAGGAGTACATTATTCTCGTATCACTTCTCGTGATTAATGAGTCGTTTTGTTTCTTATGATTCGTTGAGCTATTCAGACTTTTGATCGCAAAAACCGTTACTATTACTCGTAAACTCTGTAAAACTTATGAGTTTTACAACCATTTGATTGTAGAGTAAGACCTGAATGATTGATATCTAATAAAATTCTTTAAATATAAACATTTTTTCAATTAATAACAAGAATCGCATACAAGAAGCGAATAATTTATGGGAAACTAAACATAAATAAGAAAATACTCAACGAAATGATTAATGAACTCTCGTTTTATTGCTTTTGAATCTATTATTATTGGAATTAGTTTTTAATAACTTTTTTCGTTTCGTTACATAATCTCCAGAAGCAAAGCAAGAAGTTTAATTATTAGCACTAATAATAAAAGACATTTCTTTATTGTCTTATATATGTTAACGAAAGTCATTATTTTGCATTAATTTGTGAATAAATAAGGATTAAGATTGAATTTTCTGCGAAACAGTAATTAATTATAATTTTTATGCCAAAAGTGTAGACAATTAATGCCATTATTAGTGTTATTTGACGTCACACTGAAAGCGATTACAACTTGTATTCATAGGAATGACATTTAAAGGCAAACATCGGATAAAATTTCTTGAACTGAATTCAAATGAATGACAATTTCTTTGACAAAAGAGACGAGAATATCAATAAAGCTAATCATGAATATTGAGTTCACAAACTCTTTTATATTCACATCACTTCTCTATTTATATGCAATCATAAAGTCCAACAGTATTATTAGATTAAAAATCATTAAATTAGAAAATATTAGTTAAAACATCAATTATTAGACAAACAAAACGTGAATATTTAAACATTTTAAGGCATTTGCAATGAAATAATCTGAATTTTGGGGATTTTATTGTCTGAATGGAGAATAACCCATAAAAAGACATTTTCATCAAAAATCAATCGATAATCTCAACAGATGTTAAGTAAAAGTTATAAAATTCCGATTCTTATGTCAATTGATTGACAGATAATCGAAATAAATATTCAACAAAAGTCTGAAACATATTCACAAATCGTCACAACTTTTTAGGTGACAAATATTTAGCAGACTTTTAATTCAAACATCAAAACGCTTTTTGCAAATCAGTTTCACTTCAACACACTTTGAAACCCTTTGAAGGAAACCAAACATTTATAGGAAAATGTTTGAAACACTGAAACATATCTCCATTTCCACTCCAATAGACATCTTGAAAGCACTAACAGATAAACACACAGTTTTCAAAGCCTTTAAAAAATATTTCATAGATTTTAGGACTTTTCACAGAATATTGATTTCAAAAGAATATAATTGAAGAGAATTAAGGGTCAAGTAATCAATTTGAGTGAAGCATAAAACGAAACAAAAGTCATTTTAAGGTTATTTCCGGACTCAAGACTCCTGGGAATATAAAAGCCAAACAAATCTTTTATTATTATATTTATATACAGAAAGCAATATTCTTTAGGTTATCGTAACTCTAATATTAAATGTGATATTGAGATGCAATCTAGAAGTTTGCTTTTGTTTCCCATGAATTCAATTTTCTGATCCAAAAACCTAATGTCAAACATCAGATTTCACATAAAAATTTCAGAAATTGTTTTAAATCATAAGTTTATGTTTAAAATTATGGCAAAAAAATATTATTTTCCTCATATTTCTATCCATAAAACACTGTTTTTAATATTATTTCTTTAGTAATAACAAAATATTGAATCAATATGAAAATTATTAGAGTTTTTATGCATTTTATAGCTTGAAATTATTTTTAAAACTTTTTCAAACACATTAATCACTTTTTAGATTATTATACGTTGAAATTGATTACAAAATTTTGAGAAAAAACTTTAAGAGTTTTCATTCATTACACAAAGAAATGAAGTTTTTGTGTTTTTATCTCTTGAGTTCATATCTCTTTCAATCATATTCTTCAATGATTTTTATCTTTCAATTAAACCCAAAATATAGAGAATAAACGATTTTATCCGAGAGTGCAGTCATAAATAGTTTTGACAATTATTGCTATGCTTTTCAATTAACTTTTAATATAAATTATTTTTATATACTCTTGACAATTGACTCAATAATTAATCAATAATTTTTGTTTTTGCTTTATATTCTCGATAATTCTGATTAAACTCAAACTCTGTAATGAAATCCCAGAAAATGTTATATTTTTGAGCCAATAATTGACTCAACATTCGTATGATTTATGGTATGTTTGGAGAAAGAAATCTCTTTAATATTTCATAACTTGCGTCCAAAAGTGATTTAATAGACATAAAAAATGAGAACATAATTCAAATCAACAAAATTGATGAAAAAGTTATTTCAAACTTTTGTCCACTGAATGTGAACGAACTTTAATTTAAATGATTTTATCGGAATAAATACGTACCAGGGTGAATATAGCGCTGGCAAAGCTTCCTTTCCTCACGGAGTCATAACAGCAACAATTCTGTATAATTGCCATCAATTAGAAAATATGAGATGACATCAAAATATGCGAACAAATGAGAAAAACTGTTTGAAATTTGAAACTCGAATTCAGAGGAAATCTATAAGGATTTGTAGAAAAAAGTTGAAATCAAGACAAGAACTGCGAGTTTTGTGACCAGAATTCATACAAAGAGATGAGCAGAGAGTGAGTGTTTGCACACTTTTGCCGAACCGAGAGTTGGCACGCATTCGCACTCATCCTCTCATCCCTTTCCTCTCTCGCACTAAACCTCTTAAACATCTCCAGTAATCCAAAAGCAGTATATTTTCAATTGTAGATACGTTTTGTATTTAAATTCATCAAATCTTTGATAATATTGTATTTAATTTCAATATTATATAAGAATATTCTATAAAAGAATATTAATTGAAAAATGATATGATTTTAGAGTACATAATATGTTATATGTTTTCTGTTATGATTTCTGTTCAAACAGTTCTCTCTTTCTTTACATAACATTATATTTAATCAAAAAACAAACATTTTTATAACATTTGCGCAAAGAGTGGACTAAAATGATAAGAAAAATAATAAGAGATATCACGGCTATGAAGGCTATGAAGGCTTTCGATACAAAGTTTTATTTTTGAGATTTGAGTTGAAGTTACAATACAGTTGTTATTAAACTGATGACAGATTTATTCCAAACAATAAAAGTAATAATCGTTTTATTTTTAAAAGGATTTCAAAACAATTTAAATAAAACAAACTTAAAGTAAAACATCTAAAAATGCTATCAAATAAATGGTCTTATTTTATAAGACAAAACTTTTGACAAATTCTTTTTTGTTTGGAAAGTCAAGTAATGCCTCATTACTAGCAAAACAATGGTTTAAGAAAATATAAATTACTTTTAAACTCATTTTATTTGAATATAAAGTGTTTGTTCAATAATTTAATACAAAAAGCAACATTACTTTAACACAACATTCAGGATTTAATTCGTGTTAATCTTTATACAATTGTGAACTTTGTTTTCAATGAAAATGAAACAAAAAACTTTTATTACAAATTCAAATACAATGTATTAAACAAGGGATGTCTAAAAGCAGCAAAAATTACATTCATTATACAATTTGGACAACAAATAAAAACGTGAAACTAATTAAACAGTAAATAACTATAGTTTAAACGTATTGCCTTTGACTTAGGCTTTGAATTCATTGTAATCTTTGTCCGATTCGCTATACTTGACTCCTCTGCCCAACAAATCTGTAATCAAATGCAAAAACACTGAGTAAAGAGATAAATGCAAAACAAGTATAACCGTTGAGAGTGTGGACGGAAACGGCGAACTGCGGACTCGGGTTTCGTCCCTTCCCGCGATACGAGAGGTCCGCCCGAGAAGCTATATATACCTTACGAATACATTCATATATAGATTCCTGCCGTGTAATACGGACACAATTAGTTTGATACGTATGATCAATTTGAAAAATACTACTTTATAAACGAACTTATTGAATGATTCCATCGGGTACTTTACTTCCCTAGTAGTTATTTAAAAATGTATACATTTTCGATTAAATTAACTGTTCTTTCAATAATTACAATCCCTATTTTAAAGCGATGTACAATTATACTTTGTTAAAACTTATGACTGATATAATGAGTTTTTAAAAATTAATATAATTGTATAAAATTCGAAATTACATAAGTTACTATGATAAACATAATTTTTGTATACACTAATTCTGAAAATAAAATAATTATACTAAACCCGATACAGTAGAGAAATAAAATAAATACGGAATCTAATTCGAGCATGGTGAGATCTTTATAAAGGAATTTTGTATCGACATTCGAGTCACCATAAAAATCACCTACAAGATTATCATTAAGTATGCCAAAATCTTCGACAAACTGCGAGTTTACATTAAACCAAAAAGCACCTTTTACGCGGTGCAGGTGCTCGAGAATAGCCGACTCATAGATATGTTGGAAACTGTAATTAAATTATTTCATGAAAATTTAATATAATTTTATATTTCTAATTTATTCTGACATATTATCTGAGATATTTTTAAATTGAAACTCCGGTTCGTAGCACATTGGCGTGACCAAAATGGGCAAGTATGATTGTAGGACTTGTACCGAAAAAAACCTGCTAATATGCGGCATGAACACGGTCATAAATTCATCGTTGAATATGAAAATTTTATTTGCGAACGATTGTTCAATTTTAGCTCGGTCAAAATTTGTCTTTTTGCCCAAATCATAGAGGGTGTACATATTGTTCCACTTTATGACTATTGGTCAATTTATTCATAAAAGACGACTCAAATTGTTTTGAATTCCAATGATTCTGATCATAAAATAGAGAAATAATTTCGATTTTTAGATCTAAAATGTCATCAATGGTATCGGCCTTGATCAAATTACTTCGAAACATATTGGCCTTGAATTCACTTTTGAATATATCCAACAATGGTATGATTGCTAACATCCATAATAAGTATAAATAATTACGGTAGCGAAACTTTTCACCAATGCCAAACAATGGTTTAATGTAGACCCATACATTGTAAAATAGAGATTTATTACATGTTTTAGTTATTTTATACATTAATTTATCCGTTAGAATCATAGCAATAAATGCCATAATAATACTTGTCCACACAGTGAGCTTGTATACTTTCCAGATCTCCATGATAATACCAAGGTTATTAGGCACAATCGTATTTACATAATTAAATGTTATAAAGTTAGTTATGTATAATGGTATACTGCATGTTAATTTATGAATATCAGTTTCCCAAATATAGTCCATAGGTGATTTATTCAATACAGTTATAAGACTTTGTTTAAATAATTGTTCTTGTGACATATGAAACTTATCAGTGTCACAGTTAGAGACAAACAGATTAATACTAAATATAATTTAAAATAACAATTGTTTTTTAAAATTATAATTAATTATGTTTTATATAAGACTTTACCTAGCATTAACTCGTTTTGCTACCTCTGATAATAAGTATACCGTTAACGATGCTAAATAAGCAATGTCATTTTGTTCGCCAAATTCCATGAATGTATACTAGAGTTTATAAAAAAAATTAATGTAAAAATATTCAATAGGTTTAAGTCAAAAATAAATTCATCAACCTCATCATGTGATACGAGTAAACTAAAAGTATCATTACGTCTATCATTAGTGAATTTATAATTACAGTCTATAAATGTCATATTATCATGATGAACAAACTTATGTATAAAATCCGATTGATGATCCTGAATATAATTATCCACATGACCAGATTGTAATAAAAGGTCCCTATACGAGGACATTATTATTTTTAAATTCTACAATTTTATTTTAGCTATATTTGGTTTGAGCTGTATTATACACTGGGATGTAATGATCATTTATGAACAACAAATTGCTACCTATTTAATCAATATTTTATTAATTAGATTAAGGCGTGGCGTACATATAATAATGAGTACACCAAAATCTCGAAAAACAAATTCCAAACATTATAAAATCTATATAAATAATTATTTTACTTTAGTTAATGTAAATTAATTGATATTACTGTATTTACTTTAACTTGACTTGCTATTATACATTGGTTATAATCTAATAAAATTCAACCAATAATTACAATATTAAATTTTTGACGAAATATTTATTTTCAAATATAACAATAACAAAGCTTTTAAATAATTATTCTACTAATATCAATGAATTTTACATTACATTACCTAGAGTAAAATAATTTTTTATATAGATAGTATAATTTTCGGGTATGTATTACGGGATTATGTATAAGTGCATTTAATTCGTGTAATATATTATTCTATTATATTCAGGGTGTGACCAACATTTGAATTTAATATCACTATAATATTTTAATTGGACTAAATAAATAAAGTAAATTATTATTTCCAAATAAATTTTATTTGAAATTATCAACCTTTCGTAAACATGATGCCGTACCTCAAATACAAATACATACTGTATTATATTGTCTACTGTATATAATTCATATAATACATTTGGTGGTTGTATATAGATCATGATAATATCATTTATTTAAATTTGACATGTACCTGTGACATTTGCTGTGTGGTAATAAAAATAAAAATAGGTGAAATACGTTTAAGACACATTTAAGTTTACTCTATTATTATATTATATTTTTTTGAATAAAAATATTGATTATTTCTAAATAAATATTTTGACTAATAATTTTAATATAGAAAATTATCTTTATTAATATTATCAAATTATATGTGGATAAATTATAATAAGTATAATATCCATGGTTTATGTATTTGAGTACAATAAAATAATTATTATATGTTTATTGATTTTATTGTAAAATATATTAACTACAAATGCTTTAAACACAATTTTGTTATTTTAATTTCATAATTTTATTATAAACTGTAATAATAAAAAGAGTTTTAATGTTTAGTTTAATAAGATTTTCATCGTTATATATTTGGCAACACAATTATATACTTTATACTTTATTATAGTTATAGTAATTAATATACTGTTAATTTTTAAAATAAAATAAAAGTTTTAAGCTTATTTGTAAATTAAAAATTTACTATTTTAAATAATAATTTTTATGAAATAACATAAGCTTATTGTGTAAATGTAACCAATACGCATATTTTCTAGTTTCAACATTCAGAAATATTTTAAAAATAACTAATTAGCATGATTGCTAATCTGAGAATAAATATTTTAACAAAATATCATTGACGTAAAAATGTACTAGTTTATAAAAAGAGTTAAAAATAATTAATCAAATTACGGATATGTTTATAAACACGGTAGCTCATAAAACCCATTTGCAAACTAATTTATCTTGAACAATTAATTAATAATTTTAAAATGATTTTAATTCATGCTACCTAAAAATATACCAACACTTAATAGTATTAAAAATAAATCATATACTCAAGGTACTGAACATAATTAATCAAAAAGTCATTTCAATTAATTAAAATGTCATTTACTGTTAAAAACATAAATGATAGATAATAAAATTAAATGACATGTCTCATAGAATTTTATAAATCATTTAATAGTTGTTTGAATATTAAATAAAAATTAATTGTTTGTTGAATTTAAATTAATATTTAAAACCCAATCAAACTAAACCTGGAAAAATGTTGAAAACTATTGGACTGTTATTGTTTGTGGGCACCTGTATCTCAGCAAATTTTCTCGACTGTAAGTATAATTAAATTTTAAACTTCATTTAACATAGACTTAACATTGT